ATAATGTTAACGTGCTGCCATGGAGCCAATTCTGACTCAGGGCGGCCCTGCGTGAGTCACAGAAGAGCTGTGCTCCACAGGGCTTTCAGAGGCTGACTGCTTGGAAGTCAGTCAACAAGATTTTCTCCCAAGGCTCCTCTGGGTGCACTTGAACCACCAATCTTTCCATAAGCAGCTGAGTGAATTAACTATTTACGCCATTCACACATTCTGAAACACACTGTCAGCAGATGCCATTCGGTTTGCCTGGAACCTACATCGAGCTCTCAAGTCCATCTCGAGCATTTTAGCTCTCTCTGCTGAAATACTCCTAAATCTGCATGAACCGTTCAGAGGGTACTAGGCACACAGGCTCTCAGCCTTTCGAGCACTCACCATGCATCACTAACGTTCATGTAATTTACAGATGCCAAGTCCACTAAGCATTCCATGTGGAACTTGGTCTCCACAATGACCCCACATCGTGGCCACCAAGGCACAGGGAATGGACTGAACTTGCCCGTGGTCTCTCTCAAGGACATGCTGGAGATGGCTTTCCAATGCAGATGGCAGTCCCACAGCCCTCAGTCTGAACTCCCACCGATAGACAAACATCCATGGGGTGAGGATGTCAGTGGCTGTGGATTCTGTTAAGCCCTTCAGTGGAGACTATTTCGTTAGCTGCTACAGCCAGCCTCCAACTCTTGGCCACCCCACACGCAACGGGATGGGACGGTTGTGTCCCACAGGGTTCTCACTGGTTGATTTTCAGAAGACAATCACCAGACTCCCTTTTCCTGGTCTAGCTTAGTCTGGCAGCTGCCCTGAATCCTGCTCAGCATCATGACAGCACACACATCTCCAAGGACAGATGGATGGTGGCTGCGCATGAGGAAGCCTGGATGGGAACCGAAGCCACGTCTCTTGCATGGAAGGCAAGAATTCTCCCAACGAAGCACCACTGTCCCCTGGGCAAACCACTCACCCTCCCCTTGGGACCTGCAACGTTTCCTGAGTTTCAGAAGCACCTGAGCCCCAGCTGAGGCCTCACCATCAGGTCCTGCCTGCAGCTCGGAAGCAGCCCCAGATTCACCAGCCGGAGGTGTAGACTCGCTATGGATTTTAAGCAAATCTCTCTGCCTTTGTTTGTCCTTTTGCATAAACCTCTCATTTCATGAACCAGAGACTCCGTAGGGAAGGCCCCTCTTAAGAGTGAACCCCCTGGGACAGGAGGAGATGACAGCTTCTCCAGGGAAGTCCCATTTCCTCATGGACAACCATTCCCAGGGAACAAGGGGTCTCGAGAAGGCCAGAAACAGCACTACGTTGGCCACCCATGTCTTCTTGCCAGGCAAGCAGTGCATTCCTTTTCTAGTTTTGTTTGACCAACACAGCTGATGTAACATCTATTCTACTGTCCAATAGTCTTCTTCAAATAAGTACGTTTCATCAGCACCTGCTATTGAGATGCTGAAGTCTCTTTCAAGCTAACAGAGTTCGACACACAGAGACAAACATGGACACACATACTTACACGCACATATGCACGCATCCATGCACATGTGCACACACCTCCAGCCACATCAAACAGATCAGCCTGCCTGCAGGATCTTCTGCCTGTGCCCAGCTCTGCCCTCGTTGTGCTGCTGGGCTGCTGGTCCGAGGGTCTTGGGACACCTTCAGACAAAAATTCACACTCAGTCTCGAACTGCCTGAGTTGTGACTTTCTCAGGCTCCCCACAGCCTTTGCTTCAGACTCTGGCTGGCTTATCAGAGAGCTTCCGGCTGCCGTACTCAGTCTTCCTCTCTGGATCCAGATGCATGGGCCTCCTGGCCATTCCTGGTAGAAGCCCAATTGCCAGCACAGACCACACCCCCAGCGTGACCCTGCCAGCATGAGCCTGGCTCGGAGCCACTGATGCCTTAGCCCACTCTGCTCCCATACTCATCCCACCCCTTGCTTCCTGCTCAACTGTCTGTGCTGCACTTGGTTCTCCCTTCTGCCTCCCGTAGGCCCTGTATGCTGGCTAACTCAACACGGCCTCGAGTTTCCAAGAGCACTGGAACCCAGCACACAACATTGATTTGTAGTGCAGTATGCATCCAAATGCCACACAGGTGCTGAGGCTTAAACAGTTCTTTCTCTGTAGTTGTAGCTGCCAAATGATTCTCATTCATTTGTTCCCTTTATTCACTATTTACTGGGCACCTGCAAAGTGCCCACCTCTGTTGTGGGGTACTGGGTGTAGCAGCCAATGGATCCAAGAGAGCAGAGAATGACGGGTCGCTTTCCCCAGATGCACCGGGGGAGGCCGAGGAAGGTGCTGAGCAGGAATTCCAGGAAGCACTCAGCTCCCGTTCCTGACTCTGGAAGCATGTCCTACAGAAACTGTAAATAATCAATCACCCTCTCAATGTTTCTTGACAGGGGGAAAAAAAAGACGTAGATAAAAGCTTGGTGATAAATCGTAGGCAAATAGTATCGAGCATAACCTGTCCTTGTGATGTGGTGGAGTCAAGTGTACACACAAAGATGACCTCAGCAGGAAAACTATGTGGGCTTTGCTAAATCTAAACCATAACTGGATTGAATTACTGGATAGGGTTGTCAGGATTTTGTTTGAAGACCTATAGCAAAGCCCTCACTTCTGAGCACTTTGTCATTTAATCTGTCCAAGGAAGAGAGATCTTAAAAAAGCAATCAATCATGAACATTATCCAAACACAAAGAGAGAGTTTACACTGAACGTACAGATGATGGACCTCGATGGAATCACTGGTGAGGTCAATGTGCAAATTAATTTCACCTCCTCAGCAGACAAACTTTCAAGAAATTTGACAACACTGCATTGACTTACTGAAACGAAAAAGACAACAAACAAAGTCACGGCTGTCTCATCAGTTGCGAATCTGGACAACCCCACGTGGTAGAGAGGAGAACTGCACTCCCTAGAGTTTTCCTGACTGTGAGCTTTATGGAAGCAGATCGCCAAGCCTTGCTTCTGTGGCATTGTTGGGTGGCTTCCAACTGTCACCCTTTCGGTTAGTTATCACCCCATCATCACCTGCTTGCACCACCCAGGCTCCTACACCAGTGACAGCATTGTTAACTAGACACAAGGAATCACGCTTACATACATTTCTTGCGTCTTCCACAGAAATGCTGCTTGTGTGGGCGCCTGAGGTTCGAGCCACCCTGAAGGTGTTGATTGTCATGGTGAGAGGCATGGCGACTTTCCTCTTCCCGCCTCCTCTTGATGATCATGATCTCATTCACCCTCTGTGCTCGGGGCTCTGTGGACCTCTTGTACAGGATGTGGGAGTGTAAACCCGCCCGGGCAGAGCCATGGAGCTGTCCTGTGAGGTCTGAAGGGAGCGGCTTTAAGAAGTAATCGGCATCTTCTGTTCTTATCATGCCTGACTGGAAAAAACAAAGACAAAGAAAGAAATACAAGTGTACTTTCAACTTGGAGCCAGGAACAGTTCTCCAAACTCCTTAGTTATTATTCCCTAGCACACATGTCCTTCCCTCCAGGGGGATCACATGTTGAAGGCTCTACAACCTTGGTTAAGAACTGGAAAGGAGAGGCCTCCACACACGCAACTACGCCTGCGTCCTTGCAGAAAGATCTCTGTGGAGGTGTCACACGGTTCCGGACTCTGGGAACAGAGAGGGCTCAGGGGTATGGCACCATCAGCTGACTTAGATCATGAACGTGGAGGAGACGTCCATGCACACACCCTTGGATACTAAAACGGGGGGATCCCAGGTAAAGAAATGAAATCAGAAGGATCACAATAGAATAATGCAAAAAACAAGATTCACATGAATAACATGACATCACGTCTACAACAGCAGCTCAGAGGGCTGGTTGGGAAGCTTCGGGAGGGCAGAGGGTCTAAGGGACGGTGGTGGCGTCCTCTAGAAGAGGAAGCTGAGCGTGGCAGCACAGCTGGAAGAACATCATCACTGTCACTACATTGTACATGGCGAGAGCACTGGGACTGTGTATCTTTGGCTGTATAACTCTCACCAACATTTTTAAAACATGAATACACTCTGCCACTGTCTAGAGAAATGTAACTTACTGTGGTAGTTAAATTTGTATGTCAACTTGGCTGGGCCTGGTTCAGTGGCTGGGCAGTTGGTGGTAGTTATCCCCCATGATGAGACTGGTAATCAACTCCATGGTGGGATCTACCAAAAGCAGCTGAGTAGCTGCCTTTGGGAAGTGGTCTGCTTCCTGTATACAAGGAGAAGCCTTGGGAATGGTCTCTCACCTATGGCACGCTTGGACCCTGCATGTAGCCGTGTCATTGCTCAGCAGCCTGCCATACTCTACCAACCTTGGGACTTACAATGGACTTAAATTAATGGCCTGCTGTGCGGTTTGGTAACATTGGGACTGTGCCTTTTTACTTGTCAACCTTGGGCTTCTCAGCCTCAGCAGCCAGCAGCTGTCTGAGTGAAGAAACACCTCTAGCTCCAGTGGGCCGGGAGCAGGAAGCAGAGCTGTACCCCAAGTTGAGGGGCTTTCACCTAGCCCCTAGAGCTTGGCACTTTGAACTTGGACTTAAACCCTCCAAACTTTAAGAGAATAAACTCCTGTTTGTTAAGGCCATCCCATTTGTGGTATATTCTTGTCAGAGTTGCACTAGGTAACCAGAACACTTACTAAAATAAATCCAGGAAGAAGTGGGAGACAATATACTGAAGGGGTCAGGGAGGTCTTCCTCAGCAAGACATTGAAGGAATAGGAAAGAAACTATTCTGTAAAGTCAAAACGTCTACACAGCAGAACCATGGAAGTGGTGTAAATGAAGCAAAATATATTTTCAAGGGGACAGGCTCAAGACTTATATAACTTTGAAAGTAAGTTTTTTTTTTCTCCTAATTTTTCAAATATATACAGTAGAACATTTGCTTGTCTACCCTAGGGAGATGCACCCCTTGGATCAATCAGCCATGAGACCCCAGAGGGGTAGCCCTCACATAGAGGGAAACTGGTCAGCCAGGAAGGCATTGATAAGAAGGGCACAGGGAGAGGTAATCACAGGGAGGAGAGGGGAGGA